GCGCATGCGCCGTCGCGCCGTCGCCCACTCTTCCACCATCTGTGCATCCCTTCCTCCTCTACACACCGCGCGCGCTTCACTCCTCCACCATCTGTGCACCCTTCCTCCTCTACACACCGCGTTCGACATCTACAATTCTCCTGATTCTCCAGTGGACGCGCATGTGGCGTCGCGCTTCGAGAACATTCAACAGCTGACAGTGCATGCGCCGTCGTGCTGTATATATACTCAAGGTCGGCGCTCGCTCGCTCAGTTGCCGCTCGTCGGTTGGTTTGTACGGCGCGTCGACGTCCAAGGTCGCGGTGAAATGTATTCCAACGAATCCACAAACACAATAATCGACGTCCCTTCGACCAGCGCCGCCCTTTCGCATACGTGTGTACGTGTTCACTCATTTAACACCCCCTCCTACAACCACGTTAACCAATTAAGCCATCGACCCAAGTAAGTCGCAATTTAACACCCCATTTCACAACCACGTTAATCAATTTAGCCATCGACCCAAGTAAGTCGCACTTTAACACCCCGTTAACCAATTATATGCTCCGCATCCTCCTCAGTGTTCCCCCGAGGGAAGCTGCGGGCAATTTTTTTGTGCTGTGGGGCATGTAGTGTTCACTTTTGGGAAGCGCTGCAACATTGCTGAAACCCAGATGAAAAATTGCGAGCCGCTTCTCACAACAATAATCAGTACAATCGGGAAGTCGCGTATAACTTCATAAACCTTCTTCTACTAATTTCTTCAGCACCCCGAAGGCTGTCTAGCTTCAGCATTGGCGCAACGCGCCTTTCAGTATGTACTTATGCATTCGAAAGTGCTCTTTGAATGACTTCATGCTTTCAATAATGGAAACTACGAGATAGTGTAGTGCGCAACATTATTCTAAGCTTTGTGACCACTGGGCCGCTAAACATAACGACCAGAACGCACCAGTTTTCTGTATCACTCTGCCATTGAATGATAAAATCTTCTACGGAGCCTCAAATTTCTTACCCCTGAGAGTATCGAAAGCTGTGCAGTCCCCCAAGAATGATGTCATCTTGATAAAACCACATTGCCTAATTTCATTTTTGGCTAAAGGAATTTCCAAATATCCCTGTCCTGTACTGTGAATCTTTTCTAACATCACAGACAGACTTACAGGGAACATGAACACAAGCAGTGTTAAGGTAGCATAAGCAGTATTAATCGATGCATACATTGCACCAGAATCATAATGAATGCCTGCTAAGAGAGATCAGGTTGCCCAACAGTACTCGGGGCCCCTCAAGCCTCTTTTTGATAGTGTTCATGCTTGAACTTACCTTTTTACTGTGCCTACTGGTGTACTTATAAGTCTTCATTTAGTGTTAACAATCAATATTGTTCTATACATGTGGCATACCACTTTTTAGTGATGTTGTGCAGTGTGACAGGTTTCATCTGCTGAGATTTCCTTGATGCACTACTCTCAAGTTCTCACTGTGATTACAGATAGCATAGGCTGCACAACACTTACTGTTTTGGCGCACTAGGTTTTGGCTGTGGATACTAACTTATTTGAATGCTCCTTTGCTGTGCAGCCTCTCTCCGACACTGAGAATGATGAGAACATATCTAATTCATGTGAGCCTTCTGTGGAAAGTGGACGTGTTGGACTTCTAATACCCCATGCTGTAAAACGATAGCTGTAGGCATAGGTCAAGTAGCTTCTTCATGAGACAACTCGCTCTCAGATTGGGCTGTTAGTCTGTTAGCCTCAGATTGGGCTGTTAGTCTCAGATTGGGCTGTTAGCCTCAGATTGGGCTGTTAGTCTGAGTGAGTTCGCTTACCAAAATGTTCATTGAGTCAGAGTTCGACTGGTTTGAGGAAAAATTTGGTGAATCTGAGCCTGAGTGAGCCTCAAGAGATTTTTTGCGTGACTCTGAGTGCACTCCCTTCTTTTTCTTTCCCAGGCATATGGCTGCGAATTCACATTGAGTGCTTCTTACACTCACAGTCTGCCTTTATCAAAAAGGCCTGCCAATGCATGTATCACTATTGCCTGGAGTATCATTGATCGTACAAGCTGATATCTACCACAAGCAACTAAATGATTAATGATGTGGTCCATCATGTTGGGCTGTTGGTTAATACTAAAAACCGCACAGAGGCACTTCAGGCTTGCAAGTAATGGCATTGCTTCAGTAGACAGAGTTATGACTGTTGTATTTTTTGTTCAGTTCACATCTGATAATGACAGCCATGGTGCACCTCTGCACATGCTCGGGGATGCTACTAGGACGGTAAGTATACATTTAGCACCGCATCAGGTTTAGATTGAGATGCCAACACTTCGCCCAAATTCGAGACTTGCTGGTTGTTTAACACGCTTGTTAAGGGAAAAATAAAAGCTGCCTGTCATACATCATGCGAGGAATAGTCCACTGAAATGTGCAGAAAGAATAGGATTGAGGGAAACAGACCGGATGCAGCTTACCACTTTTTATTGAAGTCAAATACTTACCCATTTACCTAGTCAAATATTTAATCATTTACCTTGCATAACGATGGTATGCTCGGTTTGTGTATGACGATTAGTTTGTTATAATAGTCATGCTTATGGGAAGTTGTGCACTGAACACTCTTTGCAACTGTGCTCTACAACGACTGTTCCTTTTGCCACGCAGTCTGTGCCCGACAGTGACACCAAGGATGCATTGGATCGCATGCATGAGCGTACCATGGTAGAGGAAGGTGCACTACTGCGACAGGGGTTTAGGCTTAAGATGGCGATATTAAAACATGAAGCCTGTTCTGCAACGATCTGGTATTAAAAAAATTGAAGGGGTTGGGGCACGGGCTGGGTGTGCCACCCGCTGGCTACACCAATAAACTGTGGTGACACTGCCACCGTAAAAGAGGGCCATGTATGGCGCAGCATCACCCAGCCATGTTGTTAAAGAGAGCTCTTCAGAACCAACTCTGCACGGAATATGGCCCCAATTCGACAGAATGTAGCAACCACTGAGCATTGAACTACACATCATCATCAGCCAGACTACGCTCTCTGCAGGAAAAAGGCCTCTCCCATGTGAAATATTCGCTGTCCTGGAAATGCAGAGGCTTAATTGCCTCTGTTACACATGTGAACACTAGTCTTGATAATACATAGTCAAAAAAGTAATTGTATGCTGACAGGCTCACGAGTCACATCACTCAAATTCGAATCAAGCCCAGAGTCTGGGTGAGTAATATTTTGACAACTCTGGGTACGCGTAAGTTTGGTTAAGAAATTTACGAAGAGTAAGTTTGAGCGGCTCAAGGGAATTTTTTTTTTAATCTAAGCCCAAGCGAGCCGTCACTACAAAATATCTTTTTACATGTCTGAAGCCCGTATACATATCTACCCTTACCTTATTCTTATCTCACATTCTTCTTACGAGTTGTTGATATTGTTGTTTATTAAAAAATAGATAAGTTTTTATAAATTCATTTTTTGCATGGCGAATGAACAATCGGAGGTCCCAAAGTAAAAACTGTCAGGGGGACCTCCTAACAAAAAGTAGAAAGAGGATTAGCTTTTTAGTCAGTAATATTTAAAGTCACAGCAATATTTAAAAGAAAATGGTGCAAAAACGTAGGGCCATATGAGCAACAGTAACAATTTGCTTGAAACCAAGAAACCCTAAAGAAAACATTCAAGTCAAAAGTCATTTAACAATAAGACCTTCAAGCGCTTACTAAAGAAGTACATTGAGCATGATTTGAGATCAACAGGTGGCATGTTCCACAGTGTTATGCATAAAATCTTGCCGTCATTTGACCATAGTTGGTACGTACTTTAGGTAGAAGTAGATTACGGTTAGCTGAAAACCTCATGTTGTTAGTATTCACAAGAGTAACACCCGAGAAACTGTAAATGTATAATTCATTATTAAGGATACGAAACATGATCATCAGAATTTTGTAGCAGAAGAGTTTATGCAGAGGTAAAATGTTCATGTTGCTAAAAAGGGGGGCCTTCAGTGAGTTTGATGAACAAGGTAGGTCAGTATTCACAATTATATCATGTAGTTATCTTCTACCCCCAGTTACCATTGTTGTGCTCTTATAACATACGTAGAGCAGGAGCGTAGCCAGGGGGTAGCACACAGGGCACATTCTCCCTTCCCCCCAAAATTTATTTGGCTATGGCATATAGAGCGAAAAATATTCAGCCTCTCCCCCAAATACTGGCTGCGCGCCTGATGAAGAGTGTTCTGAAATTTCAAAGAAATATGAGACTAAGGTTGATTTATTATTACAAGGCTGAGCATGCTCCAGGTTTTTTTTTTACCTCTGGCTGCAAAATATTTCACGCTTACTGCTTCTTTGCATGCATCATCATTGCCTAGAATATCATCGATCGCACTAGCTGATATCTACCACAAGCAACTAAATAATTAATGATGTGGTCTCATCATGTCTGGCTGTTGGTTAATACTAATGGCTGTACAGAGGCAGTTCAAGCTTGCAAAAAATGACACTGCTTAAACCTGCAAGTGATGACATTTCTTCAGTACACAGAGTTATCACTGTTGTATGCATTTACTGTATGATGTATACACAGTTATCACTGTTTTATGCATTCACTGTATGATGCATACACAGTTATCACTGTGTATGCATCACTGTTGTATGCAAGTATGCATTTTGCAAAGCATCGAGTTAGGATTTAGATGTCAACACCTTGCCTAAATGCAATACTTGCTGGTTGTTCAACACGCTTGTGAACAAAAAAAGAAAAGCTGCCTCTGTCATACATCATGTGAGGACTGGTGTTATCTTAATGCACAGGAAGAACAGCATTAAGGGAGACATACAAGATGCAGCTTTCCACTTTTTATTGAAGTCAAATATTTACCCATTTACCCTTCATAGCAATGGCTTATTCTGTGCATGGCGAATAGTATGTAAGAATGATCATACTAAAGCACGTGAACTTTCGTATTGAACGCACTTTACGAGTGTGCTCTGCAACCACTGTTCTTTTTTCAACGCAGACTATGTGTGACACTGAGACCGAGAAAGCAATGGACGACCTGCATGAGGCTACCATGGTAGAGGTAAGTGCACAAATAGCACTGCGACACGGCTTTAGGTGTAGCACGGTGATATAAAAACATGAAACCTGTTCTGTAATGATTCAGTATGAAAATATTGAAGGGGTGGGGGCACAGGCCTGGTGTGCCACCCGCTGGCTACACCAATGAATTGGGATGACACTGCCACCGTGACAGGTTGTGGCATGACGTCGCCCAGTCGTGTTGGTAAAGTGACCGTTTCAGAAACCAAATCTTCACACAATACGACCACAATTCAGACAAAACGTAGCAATCACTGATCATTAAACTACTTACTGCTCTTGAAATACAGAAGCCTGCCTCTGTTATACATGTCAACTCTAGTCTTTAAAAAATCGCGAGAACATGAAGAAATTTATGCTTGACAAACGACATTTTTCATTTTTTGGTATAAATATGTACATTAGACTGTCTGTAAACAGAACTGTTTCTAGAATGATTGGTTTCCTAGCTGGATTCTCTCAGCAAACAAAACTGTTCAGCTGAACACATTTTCTGGTCCTATCTGGTTATCTTTAATTAGATTCGACTGTATTATTGAGCGCAGATGCTCACACGACATGTCTACACGAACCATGCAAGGTAATGTGAAACACACTGGAGAAGAAGTCGTAATTCCAACCATGCAAGATAATATGTACTGTTCTCACAATGAGATGCAGAAATGACATGAATCAGTGCTATGGTTATAAATATTTCTGTGAGGAAGGTGAGTCAGCATTGGGTAAAATGCAGGCTAAAAAAACAGTAGTCACCGGTGACTTCAGTGCTAAAATGGAACAAAAACAATTGAATGAACTGGCTGCAAGTGATTACCACACTCATTTTGAATGGCAGTGAGGAGCATTAGGTGGAACTTTCAAAAAGGAGTGGCTGATGCATTATGAAGACAACACGCATGCAGAAAACATGAAATAGTCACTGAAAAGTGCTCATGGCAGAATAGAATAGATTATATATTATGCACTGACCACAGCATAGTGCAAAATGTAGAAAGTATTGGGTGAAATAACGTAGTGTACACTGCATGGTAAGGTGGAAACTAAGACTAAAAAAGCTAAACATAAGGCAACATCTCGCTAATACAAAACAAGCTGATTTTACACACAAAGCACAGAACTTCAAACACCAGCTTCGTGGCAGGTTCACTAACAGTCGGCACAAAAGGCAGTGCACTAGATTGAAATCACTGTAAGTATTTGACGAATCACGTAGAAAGATATCACGCATATTCTCACAAGAGACTAGGCAACTTATCGCACACTGCCAAGTTATGGGGATATCCTTCATAAACTTTAAAAAAGCATTTCATCAGGTAATAGAAGCTTCAAGCTCCCAGGGTGAATTGGCATTGTTAGACATAACAAGCTGTTAAGTGGTCTTAACAGGCTGCTGACGATGATGATACTCTCAATCTACAAAGTATTTGTGCTATCGACGTGTTCTTTGCTAGCCATCTCACCCAGTTTGAAACTCTATTCTTCTGCTGTGCAGCCCTTGACCATGACTGAGACTGAGGAGGAAGTGTCCGCTGTCGTACTTAAGAATACCACAGTAAGTATGCAAATAGTACGGCATTCTGGGGCCTTGTGACAGCCATTACTTGGCGTTCACCTCACCTTAATGATGCCCCTTATCAACTTGATGCATTGTGTAAATTACAAAATTCGTAGATATTGGTTTTTTCTACAGTGTAAATTCTTTGGTATACTGAAAACATTGGTACCAACATGTCATGTTGCATGCAGGTGATATAGATGGGCATTTGTTTCAACTTTTCAAATTTTACCCTTTAATTATGTACGAATTTCATGTCAGTCTTTGTAGTGCACGGGCTCAAATAGATGCCCTTTTCCTGCCCCAATTTCTAAGTAGAATTCATGAATTTCAACATGTTGTTAAACTTCTCCTGCTAGACAGTGACATGCAAATTAACCCTGGGTGCATAAAAGAAAAGCATTGAAATGAACACAAATTGTGCTATGAAACATTTGTGAACATGGGGAATGATGGAGGCACCGTGGACAAATAGTTTGGCTCCTTCATGTTGTGGCCTCGTAGATAAGTCTACTTGTCTTAAAGTTGGCTCCAAAAACACACTGTGCCACAAATGTTTCATCGCTTCGATCGTGCATTTAACACCGATCTTCAACCTTTTTCATACCAATGATACTGTCTAATGAAACTTTCAGCATTATTAATAAAAGAAATGTAGGGCAAGCTCCCCACTAGAGGTGCAAAGGCAGAGGCCGAGATGTGAAACTGATGGCATTCCCCACTCAGTTTCCTTCCTCACCTTAACAAGTCGTCGCTTCCCTCACTTCCGTTTCTACCCTATTGTGTTTATGGTCTGCTAGCCACTTGCCTTCAGATTGTGTCTATGTAAGCCTGAATCTCACGTTGCAAAGAAATTTTTCTCTCATTATCTTCATCTATTCTTATTTCTCTTTCTCCCTCTTTCTCTTTTACAATACTAGTCCTCTTGCTCACCAATTTCTCCAGCAGGGTATGCAATAATGTCGTGCTGGAGAAATTGATGCTTGTTTTAGGAGCAATCGCGATTATGACAAAGTGAGCACATGCCAGTTCATGGTGTGTTTCAGGTAACATCACACAAAATACAGCCAACTGAAACAGCTTCACTGCGAAACATGTGTAAATTCTTTACATGTAAGAATTTGAAAATTCAGGTGGCCAACACTATTCTGTTAGTTATGAGCTGTTTGTAAAAAGCAGTTGCTATGCTTACTCTCTGTCATGTGACTGTAGATATGAAATCGCACTTAAGACAACAGAATCCTAGTAAAAAGTATATACTATTGAACTTCAAAGAAGTCAAAGGTTAATTATTTCCACATCAAAAACATTATCTTTAATGTGCTTTCAAGATGAAAGGCAGGGCATTAGCCTGTTTATTTGGTCTTTCTCTTTCTGTGGTTCTGCTTGTTCAGAAGCAGTAGCTCATCAATATCTCCTGTTTCTGGAAACAGGTTACAAGAAAAAAACAGTGGACACAGTGGGAAACTATGATGGCAGAAGACTATAACTATGCAAGGACTGTTCCAGCCTCTAAGAAGTGCAAAATTTTCGCACCAACCCTCACAGAAGCTCACTTCCTTTTTTACACCGGCGTATGAGCAGATATAGGTATTTAAGGAATTGGCAAAGGCCATCACAGTTGAAAGAACCAAGAGATTCAACATTCGTGTTGAGGATCAAAGGTTGATGACCCTAACGAGACTGTGCTTAGGGCTCCTCTATGGGCATTTGTCCAGAATTTTTGAAAAACCAGTTGCCTCTGTGCACAGCATTGTGAAGCATACGTTGTTTGCGCTATGCAACGTAATAAAATAAGTGGTCCTCTCGTTACCAAGAGAGACCATAAAAAACAGCATGTCACCTTCTTTCATTACAAGCGATTATGAAGGGACGACATGCATCATTGACTGCACAGAGGTTTTTCTGCATAGACCAATGAAGCTGATGCCTCGAGCACAGACATATAGCAAATATAAGGCGCACAACACTGTTAAATTCTTGGTGGCCATTGCGCCAAATGGCTGCATCATGTATGTGTCCAATGTGGTCGGAGGACGAGCGTCTGGCAAATTTATAACTGCCGACTGTGGTATTGAAAACCTCCTGGGTCATGGTGATGAGATTATGGCAGACAGAGGATTCAGCCAAAGCCGAAACCTTGAGCTGCAAGGAGTCAACCTGAATATGCCGACCTTTACAAAAGGTAAGGAATGAACTGCTAACGCTTGATTATTGTTGTGGTTGAAAACATGTTAGATAACGATGCATTTCTCCCACAGAGAGGCCTCAGCTCTCCGAAGGAGACGTCACCAGATCAAGGAGGATCGTTTCATTGCGTATACACGTAGAACGAGCAATTAATAGAATCAAGACCTACAGAATAAATTAACAAGCATTGCCCATCAAATTGAAGAAGAGTATTGGCAAGATGGTGCTTGTTTGTGCTGTACTATGCAATTTGAAGGGTGCACTGATCGCAAACTAATTGACTGGTTGATAAGTGGGGTTTAAAGTTCTAAAACCACCATATGATGATGAGAGATGCTGTAGTGTAGGGAGGGCTCCGGAAAATTCGACCACCTGAGGTTCTTTAACATGCACCCAAATCTGAGCACACGGGCCTACAGTATTTTCGCCTCCATTGACAATGCAGCTGCCACGGCCGGGATTCGATCCCGCCACCTGCGGGTCAGCAGCTGAGTACCTTAGCCGCTAGATCACCACGGCGAGGCCTGATTGCAAACTAAAAAAGTGCTCATGAGTAGAGCAGCAAATCATGACTGTACATAACTTCAAAGGCCACTAAAGAGATAGCAACTTTTCTTATCACCTCTCAAGTACGCGTGAAGCTTCAGAAAGCTGAGACGTTATCGGTGTACCTCAATGAACAGGGTCTGAAGATCTCGCCATCGAAATTCGGATGAATAGCTTCTAGTCGAAAGCCAATGAGACCTCTCATACGCTTTATGTATCGATGGCCAAGTCATACCATATGTCAGGACACAGATTTCTAGGTGCATTCATCGATGGAGAACTCTGCTGTGGCCTACATGTGGCCTACTTGAAGAAGCGGCTGACAGACATTGCTAACTTATTTCAAGTATCTTGGAGGAAAAACTTGGGGGACCTCAATATATGCAATGATGCAATTGTAGAAGACACTTTTTCTCTGCTATTTTCAACATAGCTTGTCTGTTCTGACCAATACCTGCAGAACCAGCATTCACACACTCGAAAGCATCCAAACTTTTGCTCTGCGAGTTTGTCCAGGGCTACCGTGATGTTCGTCAGTAGCTGAGACGTATGCGATTGCAAATGACCACCTGCTAAAGATGCATATCGTAATGAAAGCACTCAGAGCACACGTGAGACATCTTGCCTGCCCCCCTGCCCATCATCTAGCCTTGCTACCAGAAGACCGACGTTACGCCTCATTTTGCCAGACAGTCTTGTATATCGTACACGCATACCTACGAGATATACAACTCCATCCACATTTGCAACTCCCCTATGGTGTCAGACTTTTCCAGAGGTTCAACTCATGGTTCCATGCATATGGTCCTCCAAAACAAAGCTGTCGTCTTCAGCACTAAAGCAGCGTTCTCTTCTCCTGTTGTACGAGTACAGTGAGCATAACCATCTATATACTGACTTTTCAACTACAGTGGATGGGTCTGCAGGGTCAGTGATATTTCCTGCAAGGACGACGAAGATTCGGCTATCCCACCAGACGACATTGCCAGCTGCGCACCTTGCTGCTCTACGTAGTGCAGTTGAAGTCATTAAACACCGAGAAGCCGAAAAATGGAGCGTTTTCACGTACTACAAGGCAGCAATACAGTGTTTGGTATTCACCTTATGCCGGGAGCCTCATGAACAACTAATGCTGAAAATTAGCGGCTCCACCACTTCTTCGACGAAAGACACGAAATCACGTTTCAGTGGCTTCCAAGTCACTGTGGCATATCGGGCAACGAACATGCCAATGCAGCTGCTTGATTAGCACACGAAGACAGTGTAGAAGAACCTATTTAATTCTCAAGGATTAATGCTGCAATAAAAATGAAAAAATTGAGCTGCTATTTAATTGAAGTGTTCAAGTGAAGATTTTTTTTGAAAAAGGTCGAGATCAGAAATTTTTATTCTAAGCTGCAAATCAAGAAGTCCGAGATCTGATTTCATTAAGGAAACGCTAGCTGAGCGGGAATAGTTTGACATAATAAAAACGTGCTGATGGATTCTGAACGAACTCAATAATGGTTTTTAATGTCTTTAGGCCGGGGTCCCAAACAGAAGACGCATACTCGAGTTTTGGTCTAATGAGTAAAGCAGACTGGCACTGAGCCCAACCTAATGAATAGTCAAAAAATGGTGCCTATTTGTTCTCGGTGTAGTGACTGAAGGCATGGAGACATGCAACCACTTGCAAGTAGTCTGGGGCAACAAACATTTGGCATCTGTAACTAGTAAGACAGTACGACCGCTGGACCTATGGAAAAAAAGAGTAATATTTCGCTGAATTTCTCAATGCAAACAAGCAGGAAGCTTTGCAGCAGTCAGTAGTGTCCATCACATAAGCAGTTACGTGTTTGTTTTCAGGCACGCTTCCAGAAAAGGAGTGCTGCGATTAGTTGTAGAATTACCTTGCCCGAGATTGTGATAAGCAAAATTTTCAACAATCAAGGCAGTCTCGGGACAGGATGCACTGTTACACAGGAGTTATGAACAACACTATCTCATGTTTTACACTGAATACAATGGCGCTATTAGAAGGATGCGTGCAATATATACAAAATGACACACAATATACTCATGCAAGAGATGCACTATGTATGTCTGGAATGGTTATGTGCAATATACAAGCGCACAATGAGGACTCATGGCAACCAATAACCTGTGTTTGACACTAATGAAAAGAAAAATGGTATGGCCTGCTGACAAAATAGCAGACATATGAAGACATCATGCCTGGCATGTGCAGCTACACTCGTGCTCGGGCAGAACAGATGAATCAAAACACAAATGCAAGGCTATGATAGCTACAGTTCAATGCAAAATCATGCCAGTTACTATGCTCGGAATAAAAAAAAAACTCTTGAAGTTTTCATGGGACATTTACAGGCATATTAGCTAGAAGGCACTCCATAGTGCGTGAAAATTAGTGTGCTCAATAGCAAGAAAGAACAAAAAAATAATACTGACCAAGTCAAATACTTTTCTGAGAGTTATTGGGCTGTACAATTTTTCATAAACAAGGTTCTCAAATCAGTTGCCCTATTTTTTTACAGTTTATAAATTTATACCAAAACCAAGATTGGTTCACTTTACCCAACTGGGAACCGCATACAGGACAAATATGACTGTTGAGGACGACATTTTGACAAGAGCTCATGACATTTTGTTTCAAAGCGTGCATGTGAAAAAAAAGATGGTTCTTAAGGCGTGCCCTGTACTGCCATGACATGTTAACACAGATGCAATGACCTGTGTCAATCAGCTACATGTTGACATTCAGTTTACAATGCAGTGTTACACAAAAATTTTGTGGCAATCAGAAAAGTAAGTTCTTACAAATTTCAGCCAACTACATTCAATGCTTTCAAACATACAATGAAAACACATGCAATTCAGTGATGGTACATCAGCCCAGTGAGCTGACATAAACGTAAAAGCCTACATTTTGCAAACTTCCACCTATCTATCTAATATCGAATGAACATTACAGTTTGCAAATGCTAACCTAATCGGTGGAAATTGGTAGTGATTTATTTGCATACCGCCTCTTTGCTTCTGGAAGCAGCTCTGTAAAATAAAATGTCTTGAGCCTTGGCATGCAGGCTGTGACAAAATTTTTTTTATTTTGTGATATAGTGGTACTTGGACCACTATATCACTCTTCACGCTCCAGACATAAAAGTAGCAAAGCTTCCGTCTCGTGCAAAACATCTGGAATTGCACTTGTGCATAATAGCCATTAGGGCCACCTTCGGCAAGGAATTACCTGGAGCAGACTTCACATCGTAGTTGCCTTCATTTACCATTTCCACGCAGTCAATTACGTATGGGCACTTGATTTTCAGCACCGCCTGAAAACTGTTCAAAAGACCATCTGGGGACGCCGACAGCCAGAGAATGTCACGGCACATGACTGTGCCACACAGTGTAACAGCAAGGCCAGTCTTCTTTGTGAACTGCCTGCGAGCAACATCCTCATACCTCTGCCCATGCTTAGTGGCCGCGTTTCCTGAAAAGCTGGAGCTCAAAATTGAGTTGAAAGCATCTGTGCAGGATGGCGAGCTCCTCTTCGGCACTCTTTTTACGTTGAATGCTGTAAGGCGAATGCGCCTTGCAGCATGCCAAATGGCTGTGGTCTGGCTTCTCGTGCACTCCTCAAGTGAAGCTGCAGCTCTGAACGACAACGTGGCCAACTCTTCATAAAATTTGTTGCAAGGGGCACAGCTGGTCGGTAGAGTGTCAACGTCATCGGGGGGGGGGGGGGGGGATTCAGAATAGGCTGGGCAGCCCGAGTTCTGGGTGGTCGCGGTGGAGCATTGAGCGTTTCATACAGTAGCGACCCTAAAAAAAGGCAAACCTATTGCTGCTACAACACAGTGCTCCAAGAATGCTACTTAGCTTTACAGATTGAACAACAAATCACATTCCTCATGTTAATGAGCCAGGCTGGAAAGTTATGGGAACACCAAATTTCTGTTAACAGAACTTCAAAACTGTGTCCATGGAAACTGAAGTAGTGAACAGGTCTACAATAAATAAAATTTGCTCCACCGCCCCACAGGCCAGGTAAAAAAGCAGGTTCAGCTGGCTCTCATTGCACCTCTTGATCTCCTTATCTCGTCTTTGACACGAATGTACGAGTAACACTTTCGGCTTACCCGGAACGTTGAACAGCCCCTGGTAACCCGAGTGACAATGTAATGCTTGTATTTCTTCTCTCCGCAATGGCACGAGGATATTTCGCGGCCGACGCTCTGCCACGAGGTCGGGGTCAACAGCAGTCCGGGGAAACTTGAAATTTATCTCTTCAATTGTTGAGTGCTCAACGTTACGTTTTGTTGCTTTATTCCATGCAGCAGCAATATCTGTGCACGCTCTGCCGGTGAGGCCGCGTGAGACAGCACTTTCTATTTTCCATAGGATAGTGCCGACGTGGCTGCATACTCTGGCTTGTCCGGCTGCGCACGTGCAGCCAGCGCGCAGGACCTCACCAGAAGGCCTCGCGGAAATTCACGCGGGATGGGGCCTGCTATTCACTGCTTGCAATGGTGTCACCGACCCCTTTACTAGCACAACATCGTCGTTCACTTTGTGTGCCAGCAACTGGCCCACCCTGCCAGATTGCACGTAGTTATAT